CTCTTTCACCGCACAGGTGTTGTGTTTCCAGAAGATTCCCCTCGACATGTCCACGAATTCCGTGGATGACCAATATATTAACTGCAACCCCAAGAAGGAGTTCAAGGTGCAGAAGCCAGGATATCTTCCCGTCCCGATGAAATATATGTCAATCTGGAATGCGGCCAGATGGCACTGGGCCAAACTTGGGCCAAGCGTCAGCAACATCAATCCCGTCTATGGCACTGCAATTGTGGCTTACACAATGGGCGGGGGCCTGTATCCTGATTTCAACAACGCCGTCCGCAATGCCGGGAAATCCAAATACGCTTACAATCATTTTGCCTTCAAGGACTTCTTCTTCCTCCTAACCAGGGCTGTTCAGGCCCGGAAGATCAAAGGCAAATGCTACGAGGTCTTCCGCGGGGTAAACGGGATCCGTTTTAACGTCCACTCGAAACAGCTTGTCCGCTTCGGGCAGTTCGCTTCCTCGTCTTTGGTCAAAGAGAAGGCCCAAAGCTTTGGCCAGGACACCTTCTTCTCCATCAAGACCTGTCACGGAGTGCCCATTTATGACCTCTCCTACTATCCGGACGAAAGGGAAGTTCTCATCCCGCCGTACGAGAAGTTCATTGTGACCTACCACAAGAACACCCTAAACGGGGTCACCATTGGATTGAAGTCCCGCGGTGTTTCCAGCCGGTTCAACTGTGAGGCCCTGAAAGGTAAGAGGCTGGAAGAGAGGAGAAGTTGGGGTTCAGATCCTAGTTCCCCAACCGTTCCTGGTTGGCGGCCCAGAGGCGGAAGGTGTTCTGTCCCAGCCTACGCGAGTCCTTGTTATGCTCGCAAGGAGAATCCCCTTGTCCAACAAGCAGGCTGGAACCACAGGAAAAAACCAATCCCCTTTTATTATTCACAGACCTGAGTCAACATCCAAGGCAAACAAACACAGTTCACAGAATCCCGACCCTCAACACAAACGGTTGCCTTCGGCCACCAGCACCTCCCACACCTTCCCTTTTATAATTCAGCCCAGGCGTGGCTTCCTAATGCCTTGTCCTTTGCCTTTGGAGCCGCCCCATTGCATTCCTCTGTCCTACTTGCTTTTCTTGCCGGTGCTTACGTGCATCCGTGATTTGTCCCAGCTGTTCTTCATCACTATCCAACTCAGGCTCCCAGCACAGCTGTGTCTCAGCCTGAGCGCGAGTAGAGGGGCCAGGCTCCTCATCCGACTGTTAAGTCTTGGAGCTCCTCAGAGCCTTCCTCTTGACTCTGACGTCACTCCAGGCCCCTCCTCCTCCTCTGAGTCCTCTGACTCAGCTGCCGGGTCCGCTGGCTTGCGAGGAATCACAACAGAAGGAGGGGGAAAAAGAGGGATGGTTTTGTGGGAGGGGCAGGTGCGTCTGCAGACAGGCATGCATGAGCACCCATTGCTCGCGCAAGTGGAGCTGAGAGCACCCGTGATGCTTGCGCGAATCAGGCCCTGAAGCACTTGCGTGAGTGGGATTGCGAGCGCCCACGACACTCCCACGAGTGAGGTCCCGAGTGCCCGTGACGCTCGCACAAGTGAACTTGGGGTTCAGAGTCCCGAAGGTGCTTTTTTCACGAGGCAACTTGGACTGTTGGGAAAATGAAAACAGTATGGGAAGAAAGGAGGATCAGGAAAAAACACTGGACTGTGTAATATTGAACAGACTTATAGAGAAGAAGTTATTATTAGTGTTGTTAATAATATTAATAATAATAATAACAACAACATTATTATTGTTGTTTTGTTATTGTTATTAATATTGCTATTAATATTAATATTGCTTAATGTTAATATCGCTATTGCTATTAATATTGCTTTAATATCAATATTAATATCGATATTAATATCAATATTAATATTGATATTAATATTGATATTGATATGGTCAACCTTGATATTGATATTGATATCAATATATTGATATTGATATTGATATTGATATTGATATTGATATTGATATCATCATAAGCTGTATTATTAGTATTAGTGTTAAATATCTGGACCCAGGCAACAACTAAGCGCTGAAAACTTGGCAACTCTAAAAACTTAATAAAATATCTAAAAAATATATTAAAAATAAAAATAAAAATATCATTATTATTCTTGTTTTTTATTGTTGTTATTAATATTGCTATTAATATTAATATTGCTATTAATATTAATATTGCTATTAATATTAATAGCAATATTAACATTGACATTGACATTGACATTAACATTAACATTAACAACATTAACAACATTAACATTAACAATATTAATATCAATATCAATATCAATATCAATAGCAATAGCAATAGCAATAGTAATAGCAATAGTAATAGCAATAGTAGCAATAGTAATAGCAATAGTAATAGTAATAGTAATAGCAATATTAATAGCAATATTAATAGCAATATTAATAGCAATATTAATATCAACATCGACATCGATATCGATATTAATATCATCATAAGTTGTATTATTAGTATTAGTGTTAACTCTAAAAACTTAATAAAATATCTACCAAAAAAATAAAAATAAAATAAAAACGAATAAATAAATCTGAATAAATATCTCACTCGCTGCCCCATTAACCTCTCCACCCCTCACCCCGTTTTTGTCTCAACAGGCGGAGGTCACTAAGCTCCTATGTCCGTCCTATGGGTGGACTTTCCTTCCGTGGGGGTCTCCTTCTGACCCAGAACCTCCGTGGGTCTCTGGGAAGCCTCTCACCGCCTGGAAGAAAAGCAGCTGCGAAATACCTGCAA